ACATTACGCCTGTCTCTTATACACATCTATCTACAGGTGTGGCTTTCTGGTGTTCTCATTCTGGAAACAAAAAAGAAAAAAATGGAGATAAAGAAAAAAAGGAAAAAAAGAAACCTTGCTGCTCCAGTTTACGCTCGCTAAGGAAGACCTCTAGATGGAAGGAAGGAACAACATTACGCCTGTCTCTTATACACATCTATCTACAGGTGTGGCTTTCTGGTGTTCTCATTCTGGAAACAAAAAAGAAAAAAATGGAGATAAAGAAAAAAAGGAAAAAAAGAAACCTTGCTGCTCCAGTTTACGCTCGCTAAGGAAGACCTCTAGATGGAAGGAAGGAACAACATTACGCCTGTCTCTTATACACATCTATCTACAGGTGTGGCTTTCTGGTGTTCTCATTCTGGAAACAAAAAAGAAAAAAATGGAGATAAAGAAAAAAAGGAAAAAAAGAAACCTTGCTGCTCCAGTTTACGCTCGCTAAGGAAGACCTCTAGATGGAAGGAAGGAACAACATTACGCCTGTCTCTTATACACATCTATCTACAGGTGTGGCTTTCTGGTGTTCTCATTCTGGAAACAAAAAAGAAAAAAATGGAGATAAAGAAAAAAAGGAAAAAAAGAAACCTTGCTGCTCCAGTTTACGCTCGCTAAGGAAGACCTCTAGATGGAAGGAAGGAACAACATTACGCCTGTCTCTTATACACATCTATCTACAGGTGTGGCTTTCTGGTGTTCTCATTCTGGAAACAAAAAAGAAAAAAATGGAGATAAAGAAAAAAAGGAAAAAAAGAAACCTTGCTGCTCCAGTTTACGCTCGCTAAGGAAGACCTCTAGATGGAAGGAAGGAACAACATTACGCCTGTCTCTTATACACATCTATCTACAGGTGTGGCTTTCTGGTGTTCTCATTCTGGAAACAAAAAAGAAAAAAATGGAGATAAAGAAAAAAAGGAAAAAAAGAAACCTTGCTGCTCCAGTTTACGCTCGCTAAGGAAGACCTCTAGATGGAAGGAAGGAACAACATTACGCCTGTCTCTTATACACATCTATCTACAGGTGTGGCTTTCTGGTGTTCTCATTCTGGAAACAAAAAAGAAAAAAATGGAGATAAAGAAAAAAAGGAAAAAAAGAAACCTTGCTGCTCCAGTTTACGCTCGCTAAGGAAGACCTCTAGATGGAAGGAAGGAACAACATTACGCCTGTCTCTTATACACATCTATCTACAGGTGTGGCTTTCTGGTGTTCTCATTCTGGAAACAAAAAAGAAAAAAATGGAGATAAAGAAAAAAAGGAAAAAAAGAAACCTTGCTGCTCCAGTTTACGCTCGCTAAGGAAGACCTCTAGATGGAAGGAAGGAACAACATTACGCCTGTCTCTTATACACATCTATCTACAGGTGTGGCTTTCTGGTGTTCTCATTCTGGAAACAAAAAAGAAAAAAATGGAGATAAAGAAAAAAAGGAAAAAAAGAAACCTTGCTGCTCCAGTTTACGCTCGCTAAGGAAGACCTCTAGATGGAAGGAAGGAACAACATTACGCCTGTCTCTTATACACATCTATCTACAGGTGTGGCTTTCTGGTGTTCTCATTCTGGAAACAAAAAAGAAAAAAATGGAGATAAAGAAAAAAAGGAAAAAAAGAAACCTTGCTGCTCCAGTTTACGCTCGCTAAGGAAGACCTCTAGATGGAAGGAAGGAACAACATTACGCCTGTCTCTTATACACATCTATCTACAGGTGTGGCTTTCTGGTGTTCTCATTCTGGAAACAAAAAAGAAAAAAATGGAGATAAAGAAAAAAAGGAAAAAAAGAAACCTTGCTGCTCCAGTTTACGCTCGCTAAGGAAGACCTCTAGATGGAAGGAAGGAACAACATTACGCCTGTCTCTTATACACATCTATCTACAGGTGTGGCTTTCTGGTGTTCTCATTCTGGAAACAAAAAAGAAAAAAATGGAGATAAAGAAAAAAAGGAAAAAAAGAAACCTTGCTGCTCCAGTTTACGCTCGCTAAGGAAGACCTCTAGATGGAAGGAAGGAACAACATTACGCCTGTCTCTTATACACATCTATCTACAGGTGTGGCTTTCTGGTGTTCTCATTCTGGAAACAAAAAAGAAAAAAATGGAGATAAAGAAAAAAAGGAAAAAAAGAAACCTTGCTGCTCCAGTTTACGCTCGCTAAGGAAGACCTCTAGATGGAAGGAAGGAACAACATTACGCCTGTCTCTTATACACATCTATCTACAGGTGTGGCTTTCTGGTGTTCTCATTCTGGAAACAAAAAAGAAAAAAATGGAGATAAAGAAAAAAAGGAAAAAAAGAAACCTTGCTGCTCCAGTTTACGCTCGCTAAGGAAGACCTCTAGATGGAAGGAAGGAACAACATTACGCCTGTCTCTTATACACATCTATCTACAGGTGTGGCTTTCTGGTGTTCTCATTCTGGAAACAAAAAAGAAAAAAATGGAGATAAAGAAAAAAAGGAAAAAAAGAAACCTTGCTGCTCCAGTTTACGCTCGCTAAGGAAGACCTCTAGATGGAAGGAAGGAACAACATTACGCCTGTCTCTTATACACATCTATCTACAGGTGTGGCTTTCTGGTGTTCTCATTCTGGAAACAAAAAAGAAAAAAATGGAGATAAAGAAAAAAAGGAAAAAAAGAAACCTTGCTGCTCCAGTTTACGCTCGCTAAGGAAGACCTCTAGATGGAAGGAAGGAACAACATTACGCCTGTCTCTTATACACATCTATCTACAGGTGTGGCTTTCTGGTGTTCTCATTCTGGAAACAAAAAAGAAAAAAATGGAGATAAAGAAAAAAAGGAAAAAAAGAAACCTTGCTGCTCCAGTTTACGCTCGCTAAGGAAGACCTCTAGATGGAAGGAAGGAACAACATTACGCCTGTCTCTTATACACATCTATCTACAGGTGTGGCTTTCTGGTGTTCTCATTCTGGAAACAAAAAAGAAAAAAATGGAGATAAAGAAAAAAAGGAAAAAAAGAAACCTTGCTGCTCCAGTTTACGCTCGCTAAGGAAGACCTCTAGATGGAAGGAAGGAACAACATTACGCCTGTCTCTTATACACATCTATCTACAGGTGTGGCTTTCTGGTGTTCTCATTCTGGAAACAAAAAAGAAAAAAATGGAGATAAAGAAAAAAAGGAAAAAAAGAAACCTTGCTGCTCCAGTTTACGCTCGCTAAGGAAGACCTCTAGATGGAAGGAAGGAACAACATTACGCCTGTCTCTTATACACATCTATCTACAGGTGTGGCTTTCTGGTGTTCTCATTCTGGAAACAAAAAAGAAAAAAATGGAGATAAAGAAAAAAAGGAAAAAAAGAAACCTTGCTGCTCCAGTTTACGCTCGCTAAGGAAGACCTCTAGATGGAAGGAAGGAACAACATTACGCCTGTCTCTTATACACATCTATCTACAGGTGTGGCTTTCTGGTGTTCTCATTCTGGAAACAAAAAAGAAAAAAATGGAGATAAAGAAAAAAAGGAAAAAAAGAAACCTTGCTGCTCCAGTTTACGCTCGCTAAGGAAGACCTCTAGATGGAAGGAAGGAACAACATTACGCCTGTCTCTTATACACATCTATCTACAGGTGTGGCTTTCTGGTGTTCTCATTCTGGAAACAAAAAAGAAAAAAATGGAGATAAAGAAAAAAAGGAAAAAAAGAAACCTTGCTGCTCCAGTTTACGCTCGCTAAGGAAGACCTCTAGATGGAAGGAAGGAACAACATTACGCCTGTCTCTTATACACATCTATCTACAGGTGTGGCTTTCTGGTGTTCTCATTCTGGAAACAAAAAAGAAAAAAATGGAGATAAAGAAAAAAAGGAAAAAAAGAAACCTTGCTGCTCCAGTTTACGCTCGCTAAGGAAGACCTCTAGATGGAAGGAAGGAACAACATTACGCCTGTCTCTTATACACATCTATCTACAGGTGTGGCTTTCTGGTGTTCTCATTCTGGAAACAAAAAAGAAAAAAATGGAGATAAAGAAAAAAAGGAAAAAAAGAAACCTTGCTGCTCCAGTTTACGCTCGCTAAGGAAGACCTCTAGATGGAAGGAAGGAACAACATTACGCCTGTCTCTTATACACATCTATCTACAGGTGTGGCTTTCTGGTGTTCTCATTCTGGAAACAAAAAAGAAAAAAATGGAGATAAAGAAAAAAAGGAAAAAAAGAAACCTTGCTGCTCCAGTTTACGCTCGCTAAGGAAGACCTCTAGATGGAAGGAAGGAACAACATTACGCCTGTCTCTTATACACATCTATCTACAGGTGTGGCTTTCTGGTGTTCTCATTCTGGAAACAAAAAAGAAAAAAATGGAGATAAAGAAAAAAAGGAAAAAAAGAAACCTTGCTGCTCCAGTTTACGCTCGCTAAGGAAGACCTCTAGATGGAAGGAAGGAACAACATTACGCCTGTCTCTTATACACATCTATCTACAGGTGTGGCTTTCTGGTGTTCTCATTCTGGAAACAAAAAAGAAAAAAATGGAGATAAAGAAAAAAAGGAAAAAAAGAAACCTTGCTGCTCCAGTTTACGCTCGCTAAGGAAGACCTCTAGATGGAAGGAAGGAACAACATTACGCCTGTCTCTTATACACATCTATCTACAGGTGTGGCTTTCTGGTGTTCTCATTCTGGAAACAAAAAAGAAAAAAATGGAGATAAAGAAAAAAAGGAAAAAAAGAAACCTTGCTGCTCCAGTTTACGCTCGCTAAGGAAGACCTCTAGATGGAAGGAAGGAACAACATTACGCCTGTCTCTTATACACATCTATCTACAGGTGTGGCTTTCTGGTGTTCTCATTCTGGAAACAAAAAAGAAAAAAATGGAGATAAAGAAAAAAAGGAAAAAAAGAAACCTTGCTGCTCCAGTTTACGCTCGCTAAGGAAGACCTCTAGATGGAAGGAAGGAACAACATTACGCGATGTCACGTGTTGCTGACCTGGTTGTTCTTGTTGTTTCCTTTTTATCGTTTGAACGGCAGGTCACGTTCGTGGATGGCAGAACATACGAAGCCGAGGTAAAGGGCACAGACGACCTTACTGATCTAGCTGTTGTCAAGGTAATGGGATTTTCTTACAGCCAACCCTTCTGCTGAAAAACACCCTGAAATTGGACTGCAGCCGCTCTGTTTTATCTTCTCAATTGGTTATGGGAAACCAGGTCTGATCCCAGTTCTGTTGTTTTTGTAGTGTCGGAAACATGGTTACCATCTGGGCTTCTGGATGTCNGTCGGCATCTTCTCAATTGGTTATGGGAAACCAGGTCTGATCCCAGTTCTGTTGTTTTTGTAGTGTCGGAAACATGGTTACCATCTGGGCTTCTGAATGTCTGTCCAGGCCATCCTGATGTCTGCTGCTGATGCCTGTTGGGCCAATTTCTTTTTGTTGAACTCAGTGAGGCTATAGAGTCCCAGCAGCTCTCCAAGGGGGCGGTAGCTTTCTTAAGTTCATTTGCGACTCCCGGTTTCATCCTTTGACACACAAAGCCGCCCTCGCCCTCCGAACTGTTTTCTTATCAAGTAGTCGTTCGGGAAGTGCGGACTGTGGAAGCTGTCCAAGGGGGTGGTAGCTCTTCGCAAGTTCAGTTGCCACTTCCAGTTTCATCCTTCGGCATGCAAGCACAGGCAACTGAACTGTGGCGTCAAGGAAAGGGAGTGTTCAAAAAGTGGAAACCGTCCACGTGATGGGTGCAATGAGTCAAGAAGCTCTTGGTTCAATTGCTCGAGGGACTCGTACAAGCATGGTGAGTCGGATGCAGTGCGCTGGACGGGTGCACCTGAATAGAGGAACAGGGGATAAGGGTTTGTTGGGAATTTGTTAGGCTCTGTGAAAGGTGTACAAATTCGGACATTTTGTGATGGTGTGGGGCATATTCCTTTTGGCATACTACTGTTGACGGCACCAATTTCCTAAATTGGTACTTTGCATGTTCTTTTGGCATGTGACAGCCATGAACTTTTGATTCTGGCTTAAATAGTTTCTAATCGGTTGTCCATCGTAAGAAGTTCTGACTGGCTTAGCGTAACCCCTGCTTCTCCGTCTACGGGGGGCCACTGTTGACCCTTACCTCGGATATACAGGGCAGGAGTTGCACGGACCAGCGCTAGGCCAGGACAACCCCTCGCCGAGCATGATCGTCCTTGTGGACTTTCCTATGAGCACCAGCCCGGTTCGGTCAGACAGCGAACATTCCTGATCTACCCCAGGCAGTGTCTACTTGTCCTACCGGGACCTAGGGCTTACCTAAGGCAGCCCCTGACCCAACCCGGGCGACATGTTCCTAGAACAGCCTACTGTTGCCTGTGAGCACCAGCCCAAAAACGAGAAAATAAAAATAAAAAATAAAAAATGAAACTGAAGATGGTGACAACCGTGAGAGGGAGGTGACAGGTCCAAAAGGAGAAAAACGAGAACTGAAGCAACCGGCAAAGAAAAAAGAAAAAGAAAAAAGAGAAGTTCTAACTGGCCACCAATATGAACCTTCGAAAATGAAACTGAAGACGGTGACAACCATGAGAGGGAGGTGACAGGTCCAAAAGGAGAAAACCGAGAACTGAAGCAACTGACAAAGACAAAGAAAAAGAAAAAAAGAGAAGTTCTAACTGGCCACCAATATGAACCTTCGACTTGGTTCTGTACTACAAGTGCTGTGAGGGAAAGTATATGGCACTAGTGATCTCTATGTGGGGGACCGTCCAGTCACAAGCCAGGTACGGGTAGTGCCTTAGTGCCATCTATCCAGGGCATGACGTCCTTCTGCTCTTGAGTGGCTACTGTACCGCCAGTACACAGCCCCAGGGTTGCTGAAAATGCAACTCGTTGCCTGCTAAAATTTTGGAGACTCGGTCTACTGGACCACAATGGCTGGCGGTGCCAGCCAAAAAAAGAAATAAATTGTGCCGCTGGCGGTTTGGAAATGCTTGGCGCGCAGTATGGCGCCTCCAGGTCCGGGTGTGCTGGTGGTTTAAACCGCCACTCCATCCGGACCTATCTTGACAAGCCCGAAAATTGCATTTACGGTAGAAGCAAACATGCATGATTCTCGGTTCTCCCCCTCCCTCTCTCTCTGTTGGTGATCACAATAGGATGCACCTATTTTCTGCATCACCAATGCCGGTTCACCGTTCATGACTGGGCAAGCATAATCTCATTGTCGCTGGTTCCATGATAGCAAATGAGGATTTTGAAGTGACAATACAACCGATGTCGGATTTTTCTGTCTTTTTCTTTCTTTTCCCCGTTTTGGTTGGGTGGGTGGGTGGGTGGAGGTGGGGTGGTGTGTGGTGGGTGGGACTCGTTAGTACTTGTTACGCCATGGGGTGAAAAATGAACGTTGCGATTTCTGGATTTTGTTTTTTCACTCGCTTTTGGTTTCTGAAGATTCTAGGGTGGGTGGGTGGGGTGAGGTGGGGTGGTGTGCGGTGGGTGGGACTTGTTAGTACTTGTTACGCCATGGGGTGAAAAATGAATGTTGCGATTTCTGGATTTTGTTTTTTCACTCGTTTTAGGTTTCTGAAGATTCTACTGTATTCCAAGCGAGCTGATGTATGGAAGTCTAGATGAAGGAGAATGTGGTTATTTGAATTGTATGAAACGGTATTCACCAGCTCGCAGTAGCTGATGCAGATCCCAAGGCTCGATCCCTAGTCCCCACCTTACCTATGACCTGTCACTGAGACGAATCAAGAGGACAGTTCCACGGATCCAGCCATTGCCAAGCTGCTGGAAGAGTTTAAAGATCTCTTAGAGCCGTCGACAGGAGTAGTGCCGCGGCAGATCCAGCACAGGATAGAGATAGAGCCTGGCAGTAGAACTCCTAAGGGAGCAGTCTACAAGATGTCCCCTGGAGAGGTAGAGGAGCTGCGCAAGCAATTGGACGAGCTCTTGGAAAAAGGTTGGATTAGACCCAGTTCGTCTCCCTTTGAAGCACCAGTACTATTTGTCCCCAAGAAGGAAGGAGAGCTACGTATGTGTATAGACTATAGGGGTCTGAATGCGATATTACCGTTAAGAATGCTGAACCACTGCCCAGGATAGGTGATCTTTTAGACCGGGTGCAGGGTTGCAAGTATTTCTCCAAGATAGACTTGAAGTCCGGGTATCATCAGATAGAGGTCCATCCCGATGACCAGTACAAGACTGTGTTCTGGACTAGATATGGGCATTATGAGTTCATAGTGATGCCCTTTGGACTGACCAACGCGCCAGCGACATTTCAGCGATGTATGAACGATTTGTTTAGGCCTTGGTTAGATAGATTCGTCGTAGTGTATTTAAACGACATCTTAGTCTTTAGTAGGACCCTCCAGGAGCACCAGGGTCATTTGAGGCAGGTCTTGGAGAAACTGAGAGAAGCTAACTTCAAGATCAAAACAATAAGTGCGAGTGGGCCAAGACACAAGTTTTGTACTTGGGCCACGTGTTAGACGGTGATGGCATTAAGCCTGAGGACAGTAAGACAACGACGATTAGAGATTGGCTGACGCCCCGCACATTGACTGAGTTGCGGTCGTTCTTAGGTCTGGCTAACTATTACAGGAAGTTCGTGACGAACTTCTCAACTATCGCCGCTCCCCTTTGCAGGTTGCTCAAGAAAGAGGCAATCTGGCGATGGGATAAAGATTGTACGTCTACGCTAAAGAAGTTGAAGTGCGCGTTAATAGAGTATCCTGTCCTCAAGTAGCCGATCCGTCCTTGCCATTTGTCGTCACCACGGACGCGAGTCAGTATGGTATAGGCACCGTGTTACAGCAGGACGATTTAATGGTTACAAACCCGTAGAGTTCATGTCAGCGAGGATGCCCTCAGAGAAGGTTGCTACCTCGACGTATGAAAGGGAACTCTACGCTCTCAGGCAGGCTTTAGAGCACTGGAAGCATTACCTGCTTGGGAGGCACTTCAAAGTGTATTCAGACCATGAGACAGTTAGATGGCTGAAGACACAGGCCAAAATGACACCTAAGTTGACTAGGTGGGCTGCTGAGATAGACCAGTACGACTTTGAGCTCAAGCCTTTGAAGGGCAAGTACAATGTAGTTGCGGATGCTTTGAGTAGGAGGTACGACTTTGAGCTCAAGCTTGTGAAGGGCAAGTACAATGTAGTTGCGGATGCTCTGAGTAGGAGGTCAGATTACTTTGGAGCCAAAGTTCACTATCTGGACATAGGGTGTGACCTGCAAGAGAAAGTTAGACAGGCGTATGCGCAGGACCCTATCTATAGTGACCTCCAAAAAAGTTTAGGAGGCCCCAGAGACCGAGCCAGACTAACGCACTACACAGGGGTTATTATTTGAAAAGACTAATGTAGTCGACCGCTTATGGGTTCCCAACAGTGAGGAGATCCACAGTCTGATCCTAGGGGAATGCCATGATGCAGAGGGACACTTCGGTTGGCAAAAGACTTTAGCCAATCTTATGCACGCATACACATGGCCAGGAATGAAAAACGACTGCATAGAGTATGTCCGCAGTTGTAAAGTCTGTCAGAGGAACAAGACTACTACGTGTGCCCCTCTAGGTCTTCTCAGACCTTTGCCTATTCCAGACCAGCCTGGAGATTCAGTCTCCATTGACTTCATGGATGTCGGTGTCAAGAGTAGACACGGCAATAGCCAAGTCATGGTCGTAGTCGATAGATTTAGCAAGTATGCTATTTTTGTCCCGTTGCCTGCAAAGGCATGTACCAAGTTAGTTATTCAGAAGTTTTTCGACTTTTGGGTTACCGAGGATGGCGTCCCATTGTCTATTGTTAGTGATAGAGACACCCGCTTCACTAGCCAGAACTGGCAGGAACTGATGAGAGTCTATGGATCTAAGTTGTTGATGTCGTCTGGCCACCATCCAGAGACTAACGGTCAGACTGAGCAGATGAACAAGATCCTGCAGCAAGTTCTGCGCATGTACATTAGACCCGATCAGATTAATTGGGACGAGATGTTATCCAAGGTAGCCAGTGCATACAATAACAGCGTGCATTTGTCCACTTGTCGCACTCCCAACGAATTGCACAAGTCCTTTAGACCACGTTGACCGTTTGAAGGACTTAACCGGGATCAGATTCACAGGCTACCGCCCGGTACCAGGGAGTTCGCGGTACAGGATGAGAAAGAGATAGCCACTGTTGTTGAGAACCTCAGGAAGGCCCAGCACTGGATGATAGAACAGGCTAATAAGCACCGTTGCCCGTCGCAGTTTCAGGTAGGCGACCTGGTCTGGGTCAAGTCTAAAGAGTTTGCGCCTGAGGAGAACATCTCGCAGAAGCTACTGCCCGTGTATAGAGGACCGTGGCCAGTTCTAGAAGTTAAGGGCGGAGAGGATGGGCCGTCCTATACTAGAGATCCCAGCACACCTCCACACCTACCCTGTGTTTCATGCATCAAAGTTGCTGCCGTGTGTCACCAGTCAACAGTTTCTATCTAGACGGTCCATGATCCCTCCAGACATGGACGGCAGATATGACATTGACGGCATTGTAGGTGAAGATGTGTTCAGAACAGGAGGTAGAGGTCGTCCACAGAAACAGTATAAGGTCCGGTTTGCTTATCAAGAGCCGGAGGATGACCGCTGGCTCACTAGAGCAGAACTTCTAGAGACCGCTCCCGATATCGTTAGAGCCTACGAGAGAGATCAAAAAGGTAAAGGTCCTGCCTTGGACTGAGTTATTCTCAGAGGACCTCGAATTTGGTATTCACCAGCTCGCAGTAGCTGATGCAGATCCCAGGGCTCGATCCCTAGTCCCCACCTTACCTGTGTACAGTATCTGTGTCGACCCTCAGAGTTGAACCCGTGACCTGTGTATTTGTAACAGTTGGTAGGTTGTCGTAGGGTCCATAGGTAGCAGGGGTTCGATCTGTAGACCTGTCCAGTAGGAGTTCCAGTCAGGTCTAGCAGTCGTAGCTGTAGCTGCCTCGAAGGGTCAAGGTCGTAGCTGCTACAGTCCGGAAAGGTCAAGGTCGTAGCTGCTACAGTAACGAAAGGCCAAGTCTACGGCCTTCTGGAAGGTCCCAGTAGTGGCCTTTCGTAGTTGCCCACGTTTAGACTGAGGCAAGTGGGCAAGTGGTGAGGCAAGTGGGCAAGTGGTGGAAGTCTACCGTGCCGAGTCAACAGTCCCAGTCCCCAGTCAGTCCTTGTCCAGTCAAGCAAGTACGGCATCGGACTGTGTGGACTTCGGGCATCGGAAAAGGGCCAGACCAAATTAATCAAGAGGCAGCGCCCAGTCATTCATTCATTCCTGCGTGAGCCATGCGGAAGCGCTGCCACAAGCGACTTGTGCGAGGTGGTCTGCAGTGAGCCCGAGGACGAAGTGGGCGAGAGAGGAGGAGTGTAGCCATAGCGATAGGGTAGTAGCGGCCATAGCCGCCATAGCTGTAGTAGAGTTCAGTGTGTGTGTGTGTATGTGTTCAGAGTATCGCGTGTGGGATATCCAGGGTGATCCTGTGTATGGGAACAGAGAGTTGTGTGGGCGCTGAGTCGCCATAGCCATCGAAGTGAACTTGTATCTGAACTGTGTACTTGGTTACCATATCTCTGAGTTCTGAGTGGGCGCTTGTTGCCAGTTTGCTGCGCACCTGTTTGCATGCAAGAGAAGTGTGAATGAAAGCGGGTCTGATTTCATGTAGGTGACGGCTAATCACACAGCCTGTTGACCCCTATTTGGCAGACATGTCCTCCATATGAGAACAGGATGGGTTGTTCAAGAGCCACTGTCTTCACCCGAATAACACCTGAATAAAATGCGTGGTCATTGGTGCTGCATTTGGACTGGAGTTGTGCCGAATGCAGCTTCAATGACCGGGCGTTGTATTTGGGTGAAGATGGTAGTGTGTCGTGATTTGCGCCTGTCTGTGTCTATATTTGCCACAGTCACGGTCGTCACTAGTTCTCGTTGTTCTCTTCGTTTATTTTTTTGTTTGCTTTTATTTCTTTAAATGCATACAGCGCAACATTGTTATGTTTATCTGATTCTATCAGGATTTGATCTCCTGATCTATTCACTATTGTTACAGGCGTGCACTCTCTATTTCGTATTTCATCATTTAGTTATTTCTTTAAGGGCATACATGATACCTCTGTTATGTTTGTCTGATTCCGACAGGATTTGGTCTCATGATCTCTTTACCTATAGTTGCATGTGTGCACTCGGATCCTCATGGCACTGGCTCCTTGTCCATTCTGGGGAGCGTCAGTCCTGTTCCTATTCCACCGGCAAGTCGGAAATACAGATTACAAGTCAAACTCACTGAAAAACCTTACTCCCCATAATGGCTGTACCTATGGTTGCATGTGTGCACTCAGAGCCTCGTGGCACTGGCTCCTTGTCCATTCTGGGAAGCGTCAGTTCGGTTCTTATTCCACCGGCAAGTCAGAAATACAGATTACAACTCGAACTCGCTCAAAAACCTTTCTCCCCATAATGGCTGGGAGACCCGAGGGACTGCATCAATTGCTTCAGTTCGGAAGGCTGTACCTTCCCTCACCCCTGCCTGAGTTAGCTTAATGCTGTTATTGCCCTTGCTGCTGCTTGGTACAAATTTGAGTGCTATACTGCTCTTGAAGCTAGATGAGAACTTCCATTGAAACTCTAAGGCTATGCTGCTCTCAGCTGATTGCTGCCTGAAGTGCTTGTGAAGCTGGAGTGCCGTACCCTTTGTTGATCTGTCCTAGCTTTTGTCTAGGTGGCGTTTTGCCTCTTTTTTTTAAGGTAGCATGTTTGCTATAACTATCCGGGGCTGAACTTGGGGTTGCATAACTTTAAACCCCTAATGATTCCCTACTCTAGAGACCTAACCCTTATTGTTCCTCTCGGATTCTTAGCTGTCAGGTTTGTGTTATGAGATCAGCATGTGTGCACTCTTCATTTCGTTTTTCTTTTGCTTATTTCTTTACGGGCACATAGTGTAACATTGTTGTGTTTATCTGATTCCGGCAGGATTTGATCTCATGAGCTATGTACTAATAGTTACACGTGTGCACGATTGATCCCAGGGGCAGGATTTGATTTGCCTTTCCCTCT